GCGAATATGCTGCTCTGAAAGGGAACACGCCAATCTGAACCAGACTGACGCATCACGGGAACGTGCTTATTAGGTTGGCTGATTGGGGTTTAGAATGAGGCAGGAAGGGGAAGGATAATCCGGAATGGGAGCCCTAAGTTGTCCGGAAGCAGGACAAGGGCACCGAACACGGAACTTTAAAGCATTAAATTAAACGTTGCCCCATATGCAACATTCTTCCAGATCACAGAGTACTAACTCCTGGCCCGTAGGCCGAATCCAACCACAGACATCTTTTCTTTGAATAAGTTACCAACTTTGAATAAGTTACCAACATTGAAAAACTTGAGATGTCACATTAAATCTGGGTTTCTGGTCTCTTACCGAAAGTTGGAAGCCCTGGCAATGCCGGGTTCTCATTCCCACCTGGCAACGCTGGCTGGCGCTGTCAAGGCTGCCACTTGTGGACAGAGTAAATGCTCTCCAGTTTGCCACAATCTCCATCGCTCCCTATTGCCTCTCCACTACATCCAGTTGTCCACCCAGCACTGACTGAGTGACCCCACACCTGGCCAACATCATCCTATGTTCTATCTCATTGGCAGCCATTATGAAATGAATCATGTACTTTACGCTCTTCATTTAGTTCTGTGAAATATTTACTCTTGTGTGCATGTAATTTTAGTCTACACATGGCATCATGCTGTGTCTTTCATTTTCCTACTTTCCTCCACTCAGCACTAGTTCTTTTATATCCACCTTGTTGCTCTAAGAGCATCCTCCATGTCTCACCCCTCCATTCCTCAGCAGGGCCCCTGGCTCCTGGCCTCCAGCTTGAACACCCCCCCACTCCACACCCACCACCACAGGCAATGCTGCCACGAACATCCTCACACATGTCTCGGTACGATCTGGAGGGAAATTTCTCTGGTCTCTACACCGAGGAGCAAAAACACTGGGGTGAGGATGTGTGGATTCTGAATTCAACGAAATATTTCCAGATGGTTTTCTTGAAGGCTGCATGCATCAGTCTATACCAGTGGTTCTCAACCTTCTGGCCCTTTAAATACAGTTCCTCCATGTTGTGACCCAACCATAAAATTATTTTCGTTGCTACTTCATAACTGTAATGTTGCTATTGTTATGAATCGTAATGTAAATATCTGATATGCAGGATGGTCTTAGGTGACTCCTGTGTAAGGGTTGTTCGACCGCCATCAAAGGGGTCGCGACCCACAGGTTGAGAACCGCTGGTCTATACCAATAGTGCCTCCCTGCCATTATCCAGTTTTCTCCCTCCTTAACGCCCTGCCTCCCTCATTATCTGCCTGGCCCTGGGGCAGCCGTGGGCAAACTATGGCCCTCGGGCTGGATCCAGCCCATTTAAAATGAATAAAACTAAAAAAAAAAAAGACTGTACCCTTTTATGTAATGATGTTTACTTTGAATTTATATTAGTTCACACAAACACTCCATCCATGCTTTTGTTCTGGCCCTCCGGTCCAGTTTAAGAACCCATTGTGGCCCTCGAGTCAAAAAGTTTGCCCACCCCTGCCCTGGGGGCATTCTTGTTTGCTCTTCCTGTGTCAAGTGAATTGAAACAAAGATGAACGGGACTCCAAACCTCCTGCTTTGTGGAGGAAGTGGTGGGGCTGGGAGTCTGGTGCCCCTAGGGAGGGCTGAGAAGCCTGCAGGGTAGAGAACAAGGCTGAGTAGAATGGGGTGGACTCCAACCACCCTCTACTCCTCCTGCCTCCACTCCAGGCAATGCTGGGTTAGTGGGGGTCCCGCCTGCCTGCCTCTTCCTTACAGAGAGGAGTCAGGACCAGCTAAGAAACCACGGGGTCCCTGGGGCTCGCCCACCTTGTTCTCCGTGGCATGCTTCTCCTTCTCCACTTTGGTCAGGGTCAGCTCCAGGTCGTCGATGTCTCTTTTGAGAGAGGAGCACTTATCCTCCAGGTTCCTCTTCTTGGCAACAAGCTCAGAGTTCGTTTCTTCCTCCTCTTCCAGCCTCTCATTCAGCTCCTTGACCTTTGCTTCCAGTTGAATCTTGCATTTGATGAGCCCCTCACACCGCTCCTCGGCGTCCATCAGGTTTTCCGTTTCCTGAAGGGACCCGGGCGTTATGTGTTGATCAGGCTCCTGACAGACCCTGGGAAGGAAGGGCTTTGCCCTCCCCAAGCCCATTAACTAGTGCTAAGGAGTGGTCACACGCACACACATACACACACACACACACACACGCACAGACTCACACATACACACTCACACACACAGAGACTGACACACTCACACACACACACATACACACACACATACTCACACACATGCACACACATGCACACACCCTCACGTGCATATAGCATCCACATGCTTCATTTTAAACCACTGTGGGCATCATCCACTTCACAAAAACTCACCTCAAATAACTTCAAGCCAAGGCATTCGTGGAGTTGATAAAGCCTCTGCTAATTCTCAATGCCCAACCATCTCACTCTGCCTACTACCACCAGCTAAAAAGTAACTGATCCCAATGTTATCACAAACTAACGAATATTTGGAAAATGTCACTGCCTTTTAACTTTCAACAGGAAAGTTTTGTCTATGTCTCCTTAGCCTTGCCTCCTTGAGCTACAGAGCAGAAAATTCAAAACAGACAGGGGTAAGTGATTAAATAAGTACACGTCCCAGAACACCTGCCATGGGTCTCTAGGACAGACCATATTAGTTCTTAAACTTAATTGGGCCATAGCTTCTCACACAAGAGTATTGTAAGGACTGGACACACCTTCCAAAGTTATGAATGAAAACAGACAGGCAAAGAGTAAGAGACTGTGTTTACTGAACATGTGCTCTATGCCGGGCATTTTACACGTATGGACTCATCTATCCTTCCAGCAACCCTATGAGGTGGGTATATTACTATGCCCATCTTACAGATAAGAATACTGAGGCACAGAGTGGATGAGTATCTTGCCCAAGGCTACACAGCTGTCATATGGAGGACCTGGGATGAACACCCAGCAGGCTGGTTCCAAACCTTGTCCTATTGCCACTATGCTTGGGAGTACATGTCTAATAACCACATTTACGGACTGGGAATGTGAAAAGGGGAAGGGAAGATGCTTTTCACAGAAGGCAAAAGGTAAAGGTATTTGGGAATTTAAAAAAGGACAAATGATAAACGCCTTAACTCTGTGAAATGGTGCAATTACATGGTCAGAGTGTCACTGTGTACATGGCCATGTCTCCCCTATTTCCTTGATAAAATGTGGATCTTTAAAGTATTTTTACTATAACTATATTATCGAAAATCATGTATAGAAAATTACTCTTTCTACTTTTAATTTTTATTTACAAACATTTTTTTTAAAATTCTCACCCAAGGATATTTTCTCCACTGATATTCAGAGAGAGTGGAAGGGAGAGAAAGAGACGGAGAAACATCGACGGAGAGAGACACAGTCCTACACTGGTCCAGACGGGCAGGGATGGAGCCTGCAACTGAGGTACGAACCCTTGACCAGGGCTGACACTCTAACCACTGAGCGAACTGGCCAAGGCTTATTTACAAACATTTAAAATACCTGTTACACTCCTGACAACGTTTATTATGATGACACATACCCACAGCAAGGCGGTCTAACTCCATCGTGGAAGACAGGCGGGCAGAGATTCACCTTGCAGTGTGTGTTCCACAGGCTCTGCTTTCCCTAAGCCAGGGCCCGCCTCCGTTGACAGGAGTGTGGTGCTGCAATACTTAATATGACCACTAGGTGGCACCAATGTCCCTCAAATAGACACCCGATGTGGCCTCAAGGTTGCTCCCCCTTTTCTCTTAAGAAGGTACTTACAGACTGGACCTGCAACTGGAGGTCATTCTTTTCCTGCAGCAGGGACACCATTTTCTCCTCCAGCTCCTTCCGGCGAGCCTCAGACCTGGCCAGTTCCTCCTTGGCCCTCTGGAAGTCTTCCTTCATGGTGGCCATCTCCTTCTCCGCCTCCGCACTCTTGAGGAGGGGCTTGATCTTGAAGAACAGGTTCATCCAGGGCCAGTGCTTGACGTTCATAAAAGAGCGAATGTTGTACTGGATGCAGAAGATGGAGTCCCTGTACATCCGTTAGGACGGGGGTTAATGGACTACAGCTAGGTCTTGTCTCCACCCACCTACCCGGTGGGCCCCAGGACCTGCACCGCTCCCGGCTGGGTGGGAAGGAAGTACAGCCAAGCTAAGCAGAGCCTATGGACTCCAGAGTAGATTCTTAAAAGGGGGGAGGGCAGAGGAAACAGAAAGTGCAAAAGTTGGGAGGTGAGAGGGGGCATGGGCCATTGGTGGGTCTCAGATTCACCAGCTCCCTCCTGGAAGTACTCTGCCTACGCGTGCTGGTGCCTCCTGTTTATTGGGTGTTTCTCCCACATTTGATTAGTTAGCTCTCACCTTTTGAAACTCTGAGAGCTAATTATTTGCCATGTGGGCTCCGATTTTATGCTTAAGTATTGGCGTACACCTGGGCCTGCCTTCAGTCCACTGGTCGTCTCCCGGACTCCTGCCCTCGTTGAATTGATCCATTTTCCTAATTTCGACACCCACACTGTCTCCTACTCATCACCCTCCACAGCTTCCTATCACATAGCTCACGTTTTCTTTCCTTTAAACTGTACCCTCCCTTGGGATGTTTTTAATTTCTGCACTGGCTTTCCTTCGCTTTACCAAGCCGGGTGCCTGGGAGATGTTCTTGACTAATACATGTTGATGGCCCAGACGGCAGTGACAATGCCTGAGCGACACAGGGCATCAGGGCACCAGGGAGGGTGGGCTTCCCCCCAAAGGCCCCTCTTCCTGGGAGTCCCACTCATGACCAGCTACCGTTGCTGCTATTCCTCCCGCTTACCCACGGGCCATTTCCTCACTTAGGTCCATGCCAACTGTTATTTGGACTGGTCTTTCCCACTCTCCTTGGAGCTGCCAGAGGTGTGAGCTGCAAGCTGGGCCTCTCACTTATCTCCTTACACACCTTCCACGGCTCCCCACTGACCAGATGGTCCCGTGTGGGCTCATTAACACGGGGACCTTCACTCCCTGCACCTCACCTTTGCTCCCAATGTGACCGGCTTGTTGGGCTCCCTCCCGGCCGCCCTCTCAGGCCAGGCAGAGCTGATTTCAGAAAGTCCTTCCTTCTCACTGACCCTTTCGCGCCAATCCCACCTCCAACAAGGTTGGGGACCTATTCTCAAGTCCCCCTCGCTCCTGAATAGAATGCTGACAGTGTGCGGATCACAGGCATTAAAATGAGCCATGCACCTGTCTGCTTCCCACCCATGGGAGCTCCTGGAGGGCAGGTTTCCTTTCTGTGTCCCCAGGGCCGAGCAGAGACCCCAATAATGAATTCCTGCTCAGGGGATGTTGGTTAAATGGATGAACAAATACATGAACGTCCCGAGACTAAAAGCAGGAAGTGATCGTCTGCTCCTACGGAGGGAGGGCAGGGTAAGGAGGGGGTGAGGGTCCGGTCACCTCCTCTCCATCATCTTCTTGAACTCCACCCGCATCAGGTACCCTCGGCACAGGGCCTGCGTGCGCGTCATCAGGATCACCAGCTTCTCATCCCTCATCTCCTCCAGGAGTCCCAGGAGCCCAGCTTTGAAAAACACCTGTGTTAAAGGAGAGACAGCCCTGCTCCGTTCAGCAGGGGAGCAGCCCTCCGCCTCAGGAGAACCTCTTCCTGTCCAACCCCGGCCCTCGACTTTCAAGGCCTGAGTGGGGACCTCAGCCAGCTGGCTCCCCGGTCTCAAGTCTCAGGGGCCCCGGTCTCCTCAGCAGCCCCTCCTGTGTCTTGTCCCAAAGCACATCCCAGGCCCCACCAACCCACATGGACAGATCCTGGCAAAGCTCACACACAGTAGGCAAAGATGAGTCCAGAAAGTGACCTCTGCTCTCAGCTGTGTCCAGACTGAGAGAGATCCAGACTTCTACCTCCTCGCCTCCCTCTCTCTCTGCCCATCAGAGAAGGCTGGCCCCACCTCGGGCCCATTCACCCCCGGCCCACGTGGGCAGAGCTCCTTCGGCCTCCATGATGTTCCAAGAAGCAGGCACCCTGGGGGGCAGCAGGCTCCTTCCTGGCGGGGTGGATGCTCTAGTCCCACCTGTCCCTCTGGGACGTGGAGCACTGGACTTGGGCCAGCGTTGAAGCCGGCCGTTGCCATGCAGCATCCAGGTGACCGTGAGCAAGTTTCTTGCCTCCAGGAGCCTACGTTTTCTCACCCTCCCATCAACCCCCTGAGGTCAGGACCACCTCCATCACCACTAGGTTCTTGGGAGGCTCAATGAAACATGTGCAGAGGACATGTTGCGGGCTCCCTCAGTGCACACGAGCTCAATAAATGGTGGTCATTTCTGTGGGTGATAGCTCTTCTCAAGTCCTCATGGCCCCTGTAATTCTTTCCATGTTCTCCTCTCCCTTGGGCTCTTTCGTCTCCATTGGAGTGTCTTTACTCTACTCCCTCCAGGACACCCGAGCTCCCATCGCTTTCTTCGGCAGCTGCTGGGGCTCCCACTTCCAAATTAGGACAGGTGGGACTAGAGCAGCGGTTCTCAACCTGTGGGTCGCTACCCCTTTGGTGGTCGAATGACCCTTTCACAGGGGTCGCCTAAGACCATCCTGCATATCAGATATTTACATTACGATTCATAACAGTAGCAACATTGCAGTTATGAAGTAGCAACAAAAATAATTTTATGGTTGGGTCAGAACATGAGGAACTGTATTTAAAGGGCCAGAAGGTTGAGAACTACTGCTCTAGACTCTGAACAGCCAGCACCGAGATGGAGACCTCTGTACCCAGCCCTAGGCCTCCCTCTTCCTGGGCCACTGGGCAGGGGGCGGTCAGGCTCAGCAGATGGGGAAAGAGACCCCTTTCTTCTGCTCAGCTAGCAAGCAGCTCAGGGATGTGGTTACACAGGGAGGAAGGAAGGGGTGTCCAGCTCCCCCTGCTCTCACCTTGGTGTGGCCAAACCGGTACTGCCCCCGGTCCACATCGATGGAGTTCAGAAGCTTCTCAGAGGCATTTTTACTGTCAATGAACTGCCCTTCCGGGATGGCACTGGCGTTGAGGAGCCGGTAGCTGGGGAGGGAGGACGCAGGCCTGTCCTGGGGCTACTGGCCGTGGCAGCTGGGATGGACGATCTCAGGGGGGAGGGCCTCTGGCCACACAGCTCTCCTGAGGGCTGCACCCTGCTCCTCGCTGCTCCAGGGGCCACATAGCCCTCCGAGGTCCAGGCCAGCGATGCCGTGGCCCCCTACCCGCCCCCCCCTCCCATGGGTAAGGCTGGAAAAGGAGTGGTGTCGACTGTCCCTGGGCAGAGGACCTCTCCTCTCCCCCAAGAAAAAGACAGAGCCATGGACACCCTGGGGTGGGGGCTTGTGGGCCCACCCCACACCCAGCCCAAGAAACACCCTGGGGGAATGCAAAGGCGCCCGAGAGCGAGAGAACAACGGCGAGACCACCTACCGCTGCTTGAAGTCGGCATAGAGGAGGCGGCTGGGGAAGCCTTTCCGGCAGATGCGGATGCCCTCGAGGACCCCGTTGCAGCGCAGCTGGTGCATGACCAGGTGGTGGTCCATCACGCCTGCGGAGAGAGGTGCGGAGGCCGTCGGTGGCCTTATTGTCATTTCCTCTGGCGCTTTGGACACCATGAGCCACTCCGACACCCAGACTTGAGAGGAGAGGGTTGGTGCCCGCTCCAGGGTGGGAGTGGCTGGAGCTTGCCTAAGTCTCAGTAGAAACAAACCCGATTTATTGGGGAGACTCCACAGCCCATCACCATGGGAGCAGAGTCAATATCAAGCATTGATGTTTACCCTGTTCATGGCCCTTGACCCTGTAGCTAGGCCCCAAGGGAGGCAGATGGGTGGGGCGGACCCTCTGGGCCTCCCAGTGAAACCTGAGGTGCCCTGCGGTCTCTACTCAAGGACAGGGATGTAATGTGCAGGCTGTGCGTTCAGTGGGAGAAGAAAACCAGAGAGAACAAGGGGGGCTGAGGCAGGGGCGGAGGGAGCGGCACACAGGGCGATCGTCTGTTGAACATTGGGCACCTGCAAGGGAGGGGGCGAGAAGGGGAGCCAGAGGGACCAGACCCTGTGGGGAGGCAACGTGGTCACTCTTGGCACCAGCCTGGGTCAGGCACAAACCAAACGGGGACCCAGAAAATTCTGCCTTGGGACTCTGAGAGGGGTTAGAGGAGAGGTACATGGCTGCATAATGGCTTTTAACTGTGAGTTCCCTAAGTTTCTAGGCAAGGGCTAAAGCTGGTTTTGGCCTAACCTTATGGAAACTTCTAGAACGCTCAAAAGTTCCCCTGGCTGCTGTAAGGAGAGATGATTACACATTTATACAATTTTCAAGATTCTTCTATTTTTTTAAAAAATATATTTTATCGATTTTTTACAGAGAGGAAGGGAGAGGGATAGAGAGTTAGAAACATTGATGAGAGAGAAACATCAAACAGCTGCCTCCTGCACACCCCCCACTGGGGATGTGCCCACAACCAAGGTACATGCCCTTGAGTGTAATCGAACCTGGGACCCTTGAATCCACAGGCCGATGCTCTATCCACTGAGCCAAACCAGTTAGGGCTCAAGATTCTTCTAGAGCTGTACCACTGTGTGATCCAGTAGTCTTTGGCCACATGTGGTTATTTACATTTAAATTCAAAGTGAATTAAAATGAAAGAACCACTGTCTTAATTGCACCAGCCCCATGACATTTAACCATCTGGGGCAGCTCAGATAGACAACTTCTCCTTCATTCCCAGAAGTCCTAGTGGAGAGCGATTCTCGGGGAAGAAGTGGTTAAGAGCAAGGAGGAAATATGTCAGAAACTCAGAGAATCTCTGACGAGAGAGAACCATGGAAATCGTCCAGTCCAACCCCATCGTTTCTCCACTAAGGATTCTAACCTGGGAACTTGTTTACTAGCCGTGTGACCTTGTACTTTTTATGCCACAGTTTCCTCATCTGCAACATAAATATAACGACGGTATCCACCTCATAAGGCCGTTGTGAGGACATAGTGAGTTCATATGAGTGAAGAGTTTAGAACAGCCCTGGCCACACCGAGAGGGGTGCATGAGCTACTCGCTGTTGCCCTTTGAGCACCAGGCTCCATTCATGATGTGGCAGACTTCTCTCCACCAGAGCCAGGAGCAGAGAGAAAGCGTAGACAACCCTTTCTGACAGAAGAAAATGTAAACGCCATCATTTATGCTGGGGAGGCCAGAGCGCCATCCTGCTTGCCAACCGTGTCCACTCGGAGCGGGGACTGTTGCTAGTTCCCACAGAGCTGCTCTATAAGGCGGGAGGATGCAGAGGGAGGCTGGGCCCGGAGAGGTGAAGTGCCTCGCAAGGTAATAGCAGGTCTGAGCCTTGATGATCCCCCCACCCCCCAGGACCCCTCTATTCGTGCAGGCTCAGAATTCGGGGTTGAGTTCTCTTAGATCCCTCACTATGTCCCCCTCAACCCAGGCTGAGGCAGTTTATAGAAGGTCCATACTTTCCCTCCCCCCCCGCCCTCCCCCCCCCACCTTTGCCTTTGTACCAGCATGCAAAGCTCCTGTGAAGGTCCCCAAGCTACTGCCTCATCTTTGTCCTGTTACGTTTGATGCAGGATATTTTTCTCTTTATTTCCCCCCTTAGTTATTCCGTCAGCCCCACTCCTTCCTCCAGCTACTTCAGCCTTCCTGGGCAGTTGTACTAATTGTGTGTTTACTTTCTGTGTTCTATGATACTCTGACATCTTGGCGCCATGTTGGCCAAAGAGAGACTGCTTTTCCCAGAACCAGCCAATTCCTAGAGGTGGCAAATTACTCCCCTACGGACATATAGTTCATAGGCAAGCCATCCAATGCAGAGCCCGTCGCCCTCAACCACTACCTGTATCGAGCTCTCACCCTCAGGGCCTGTATTCCCAGGCCCTGCTCCCCGGGGGCCAGGTGCCCAACTCCTGAGGACAGCCTCTACCTCCAGAGCCCACTGAAGGTATTCAAACCAGCCAATCCCAAGCCTGTCCCCCTGCCTCGTCCATGTCTTCCCGTGGAAACCACAATAAAGGCTTTTGCCTGGGGCTCCCCTCACTCCCCTTCCTCCTGCCTGACTCGGTGGTCCCCGAGGGGCCCTGTGTGGTGTGGCAGCCTTTTCCTCGTGGGCACTGTGAATAACTGTGTTTTCAGTGCAGTCGCTGCTGGTCTGCTGGCCTCCCGCCTGAGTAAGGACAGAACCTACATGAGAGCAGCAGTGAGTCACCCACGGCCCGTGCACAGCACACACTTGGCGGATCCAGGTTGGCCACAGAGCAAGCGCGAGGACTGAGCCCCGAGCCCAGTTCCGAGGGGCTCCAGCTCCAGCTGGTGAGAGAGGCTGTACCCCTGAGCCCTGGAGGAAAGTGAGGACAGCTACAAAGTACCAAGGGTGCCCGTGGGCGGGCGGGAGGGGGGCTTGCGATTGGATCAAGGGCTCCAGCCCCAGCTCTGGGCGCCTGGGGTAAGGCATTGAAGTCTGCGTGGTCCCACTTCCCTCTCCTGGAAAAGGAGGGGCCACGCAGATGCTTTCCGGAGTGTTGCCCAGGCTCCGGTATCCGCGTGTTAGTCTACCCCCAGGCTCCTGTATCCCCGTGTTAGTCTACCCCCAGGCTCCGGTATCCCCGTGTTAGTCTACCCTCAGGCTCCTGTATCCCCGTGTTAGTCTACCCCCAGGCTCCGGTATCCCTGTGTTAGTCTAGCCCCAGACTCCTGTATCCCCGTGTTAGTCTACCCCCAGGCTCCTGTATCCCCGTGTTAGTCTACCCCCAGGCTCCTGTACCTGCGTGTTAGTCTAGCCCCAGGGAAGGAGATAGGAAACAGAGTGCCAGAGCAAAGGGACGACAACAGAGAGGATGGGACAGAGGTTTCGCTGAAGTCTACCTTCCAGAAGGAATAGTAACCCAATGGATTACCGAGCCCCTGGGGCCCCTAAGATGCAGTTTAAACCCACAGGCGGTCAGTCTATTTCCCGTTACCTGACACTTGCAGGCCATGTGCCTTATAGAAGAGTCATGGCACAGGTACAAATACATATTCAACAACAATAATGGAACTTGATTTTCTTTAGGACAATGCAAGCCAACAATGTCATTTGATGCTCAACCAGAGAAACAGTTCTGTTTCTACACTGGAGGGAACTGGCTGTGCTGGGCTGTCAGGGAGGGGTGCAGCTTGCCCCAAACACGGTGCCGTTAACTTAGACTGCAGAACAGAACTTCCATGGCAAATAAATTCCTCTACATATAGTAGACCAGGTAGTTTGGGGAATTAAAGTTTTTTATTTTAAGTAATAATGATAATAATTCCCATATTGTCATTATTATAAATAATATTATTCTCATAATAATAATTTCTCATAATTTTTATCATTTTACATATTATTATCCTATAATTATCATTATTATAATTGACAGCCAACATTTACTGAGTGTTCACAATATGATTGGTCCTATTTTAAATGCTTGCCTTGTACTCATTCATTTACTCTTCACCACCCTCTGAGGTGGGTTAAATGAGTTAATATTTACAAAGTGAGTAAACATTTTATAAGTGTTCATGACATAAAGGAATGAATGAAGAACTAACTTAATAAACGGACGAATGAGCACAGGTTTTCTGCTTGCTTTATAGAGCAGAAGGTTAGTTACTGGGCTGAGGGTCCCATGGGCAGATGGAGCTGAGATTTCTTTTCTCCACCATCTAATTCCTCCGCTCACTTGCAATGCTGCCAAGGCAGGGAGGTTCCTCATGTGCCAGAAACCCATGTTCTGGATAGAACAGTTTGAGGAGCGAGCTACCTTGTAGCCACAGCTCCGTGTGACGGTTCGTTTTCCCCTTTGTGACAAACGACCCTGAAACACAGCTGTACTATGGGAATATCTGTGACTCCAGGGTTGGGTGTGGTGGAGGGTCTGCTGGGCTGCCCAGTGTCCCCTGTACACGTGGTCTCCTCCTCAGTTTCCTCTTCTGTAAGATGGAGATCATTACTCCTCTTGCAGAGAACTGTGGTAAGCAGTAGAGGCAACGTAATGAAGTGGCCGACATACAGTCTAGGCCCGTGGTCGTCAAACTGCGGCTCGAGAGCCACATGCGGCTCTTTGGCCCCTTCAGTGTGGCTCTTCCACAAAATACCACGTGCGGGCGCACGTACAGTGCGATTGAAACTTCGTGGCCCATGCACAGAAGTCGGTTTTCGGCCTGGGCGAGTCTATTTTGAAGAAGTACTGTTGATATTTGGCTCTGTTGACTAATGAGTTTGCGGACCACTGGTCTAGGCTCAAGAAACAGCTGTGATTGATGCTGATTTTATTATGGGATACCTAAGAGAATTACTTGTCAGTTCTGGTGGTTCTTCATTCTCGGGGAAAGGGAACAACAGAGCCCTTGAAGAACCTTATGAAAGTTATGGATTTCATGTATCTATGTATGTATATCCAATACTTTGGATGTGATTTCATAGTAGGAGTGCCCGATAAATCATACAAGGAGCCCAGCTGAAATTGAATTTCAGATAAGCAGGGAATATATTTTTAGTATAAGTTATTTCCCAAATATCGCATAAGTCATCGCTATACTAAGACACTTCTCATTGTTTATCTGAGTTCAAATTTCGAGGGGCGTCTGGTGCTTTTATTTGCTAAATCTGGCAGCTGTTTCATAGATTGTCTAAAGAAGTGACAAAGACTAGAGAGCTTTTCTCAGGGTCACAGCGGTGCATATGAACACACACACGCACACACATGTAGACACACACATGTGTGCGCTCACCCCCCCAGAATTATGCATACGTTTCAGGGAGCTCCACTCTTGGGGATTCGCACTCACCAGGAGTCTTGGTTTCATTGGGAATCAGACATCGTACAAAGTGAGGGTGAGTGCTCCTCAGGTTGGTCATCAGTTTGTTTAGGTTTTCCTGGGCACAAACCAGAACAAGCAGTTACCTTAGCAAATGTTTCACTGGGCAAAACAACCACAGCTGAACGTGGAAGGGGCCGAGCACGCACCCTGAACACCGCCGACACGGTCTGGAAGGAGGAGCCCTTCTTCTTCCCTCCTTTCTTGCTCCCCCCGGAGTCACCTGGAGACAGACACAGAGCGGGTGTCAGAGGAGCTCTGAGGACATCACTCTCCCCAGCCCTGAAGGTTTTGTTTTTCTCGTGATAGAAGAGACCTGAGGGTTTCTATGTGTGTGTGTGTGTTTTTTTTTTTTATATATGCCAGGTCCCTTGAAACATATGCTGTGCAGATGTTTCTTCCCTGCGGCGACTGTGTCAAGCAGCAAGGATGGACTGGCTCCCGGCACACTAAATACCTACCTTGTGCAAAATCTCATCATGAGTGGCCTGATATTTGTGATAATATTTAATCTTCAAAAATTTTGTGATGCAGATACTCTTAGCCATATTTTTTAAATGAATAAAGAGCTTCAGGTCAATTGCCCATTATTGCACAGCTACTAAGTAGCAGACTAGTGACTGGAACCATGTTCCTTAATTCCCATGCTAACTTTTTTCATATTATACTACCATTTGTTGCATTTTAAAAAGGTAATGAATGATTCCTAATCTATGAGGATTTAATTTTTGAAGATTATATACTATCACAAATATCAGGCCGCCCATGGTGAGATTTCACACAAGGTAGGTGAGGAATGAAAACTTTTTTTGGAAAAACCTTCAGATTAGGGATCTTCCTATTATTTCCCCTTCAGTATCATATTGATTATTCCTCATACTAGTAGTAGACACAACTGATTCGATGTTGTAAATTGTGGAGGGCTTTTGTATATTTCAATCGTTATCTGAGAGAGGGTTGTAGCACTCAGAAGAGAGTTTAGATAGTGATCTTTGGTTAAACCTGAAGAGATATTACTACTGTTTCCTCCTGAGCACAAAGGAGCAAGTTAGCCATTTAAACCTAGTTTCTCCCAAACAGTTAGGCCTCAGCATGTATTGCTGCCAAATGTCATTTTAGTCAGTGGCACATCCTAGCTGGGCTGCACACTGGAGAGCCTCAGCCGACAGCGGACGTTCAGTGGGAATGTGCCTGGCATGCAGAGCCAGCCAACTCCCTGCATCCAGGAATGGCTCACTGACATGACAGAAGATGCCCACGTGAATTCTATGTGTGTTTTTTAATGTGCCTCTGAACTCCTTAGATTTGGGCATGTGATCCTTTGTCAGTGGGAATGGGGTGGGGTGGGGTGTGGACGGCATTAACTGGGATATAACTGAGGTCCTCAGCATCCAAGGAGAATCTTTTCCCTCAGAAGTCAGACCTGACGCTCAGCCAAGTCGCCGGCAAGATGGAGACACCTCTCTTGAGGATTGACCTTTCCTTCATGAGGTTTCCTCCTTCTATGCTTGAGCCCTGTTCATCTCTGAGTGAGGAAGTAACCGGACGTAATGCAACTGAACATTCTCAAGAATTTTGTACAAGGAATGAGCTGTAGAATATTCTTGAGAATATTCTTTTCTAAAAAATGGAAATTTGATTTGGAGTCAGTGATACCAGGTCTACTTTTCCTAAATGGCTCAATTTCTGATTTAGTCTCTGATATGTCATCAAGATTCATGTGGGAAATGTCACGTCTTAGTTTCCCCTGTACTCCCCTCACTCCACTCTCCTGTCCAGGGTCCATCATGGATTCATGTTTGGGTCAGGGGAAGAGAGGCAGGAAACCACCTTCCAAGATCACACCCACAGTGGGTCTTATATTTAGAGTCCTGATGTATCTCTAAGTGATGTTTTTCAATACAGTTTCAGAGAACTCTGATTAGATTAAAGGAAGCTGATGTTAATTGTTCAAGCTGAAACTTATGCCAATTAATTTTTTAAATTGTCTACTTATAGAATGAATGATTATATTGCATATCTTTTCAAATTAAAAATAAATTTGTCAAATTTAAGTGTTTAAGATAATTCATGATTTTTAAACCCTATTTTGGCAATTATTTTAGAAATGCATATATGAATAACCTTACAAAGTGATACTGGGTTGTACAGCTACTTTGGAAAACAGTCTAGAAGTTACTCAAAAAAGTTAAGCATGGAGTTACCATATGACTCAGTGACTCCACTCCTGGATATATACCCGGGAAAATTGACAGCATATTTCCACATTAAAACTTGTGCACAAATGGTCATAGCAGCATTATTCACAATAGCCAAGAAGTGGAGACAACCCAAATGTCCATAAATCAGTGAGCAGATGGACAAAATATATATACATACAAAGGAATATTATTCCTCTATAAAAAGCAGAGAAGTACTGATACATACAACAACATGAACAACCTTGAAAACACTAGACTAAGTGAAAGAAGCCAGACACAAAAGACCACAGAGTGTATGATTTCATATGCAAAATATCCAGAACAGACAAATCCATAGAGATAGAAAGTAGAATAGTCGTTGTTAGCAGATGGGGATGTGAGGAGTGGGAAGCAACTGCTAACGGGTTGCAAAGGTGATGATAATGTTCTTGAATTAGATAATGTGAAGGTTTTACAACCCTGTCAGTATATTAAAAATCACTACATTTTTTAAAGGATGAATTTCATGCTTTCTGAATTATATCTCAATAAAAAACTATTAAAGAGTGCGGTATTGGCTGTCATGTCTACTGAGAGGTTTGTCTAACTCCATAGAGCTCCACCTCATAAGGGAGAGGAAGAAGAGGAGAAAGGAAAATGGAGACCAGAGACAACAAATAAAGCAAGCTCAACTGGAAGCTTGTGTTTCACTACTGCTTCTTCAAAAGCAGCTTTGGGTTATGAGTAAGTACACAGAGATTTCCACAGGTCAAGAGATAAAAGAATTTCACCTGCTTCTGCACCAGCATAGTTGGAGAAAAGAAAGGACAGCAGCTTCAGGGAAGATTTCTGGTACAGCCCGACCACGGTCTCGTTCAGGGGGTCCTTGTTCTTGTCAAGCCAGCCGGCAATGTTGTAGTCCACGGTGCCCGCGTAGTGCACCAGCGAGAAGTGGGCCTCGGCCTTGCCTTTGACAACCTTGGGCTTCTGGAAGTTGGCAGACTTGCCCAGGTGCTGGTCATACAGCTTGTTCTTGAAGGAGGTGTCTGTGGCCTTGGGGAACATGCACTCCTCTTCCAGGATGGAGAAGATGCCCATGGGCTAGAAGGAGCATAACAGGCTGTACCTCAGTATTCAGTACCAGTCTATTCCAATGAGTCCATTGTCTGCAGGAGCCAAAGCCAACATTTTTGGTGCTGCCGCTCTGTTACTAGAACACTGGACTGTAAGTGCTGTGAGAGCAAGGCTCTTGGTCTGTTCGGTGCAATGACAGAGCAGCACTAGACATATGGTATGTGCTTAATTAAACAACAGTACATGGAATGAAATTATGTGTATGTAAATGTTGCCCACTTTTAGCAATAGGTTTACCAACAATGTAGTTATGTACATAGACATCATGTAATATGAGTAATATTTTATTTTATTTTTTAAAATATGAGTAATATTTTAAACAATCATCTGGATTGATCAGCATTCACCTCCTTCCAACATGACCAGCACTCAAAACATTATGGAAAACATTTTTTTAAAAGTTAATGTTATCTGTGTTTTCACAGTGACATTGAACCCCACTACTCCATGGTCCCTCCTCCATGGGTCTTTGGACAAACCAGAAGGGTATGAAATGCCACAGTCCCTGCTGGGCTCCCACCATATTCTTGGGGATAACTGAGCCTTGGGGTCTTAACCACCCAGGCACCTCTCTAGGTGCTTTCCAAACACTTAGTCTTTATGCACAAGGGGATTTTACTATCAGAGGGCTTACAGCCTGGGGCAGTGGGCTTAGGGGCAGCAACGTATTAGCAAGAAAGAGTTAGAGCAAAAGGTGATGGCCCCACGTAAAGAGGAGCTATCCATGGGGAGTAGCATTTATTTCTTTACCTTCTCGATGAGCTCAATGCATGCAGCCAGGTCCATCCCGAAGTCAATGAACTCCCACTCGATGCCTTCCTTCTTGTACTCCTCCTGCTCCAGCACGAACATGTGGTGGTTGAAAAACTGTTGCAGTTTCTCGTTGGTGAAGTTGATGCACAGCTGCTCCAGGCTGTTGTACTGGGTGTTTCAAATAAAAAACAGTTTGAAGGAGTTTGGAAATTCAGTGGAGATCCAGTAAAGCAGACACAGAGTGGGAGGGCCTTTTTAGGCCAGTCACCCACTCAACAACTCACATCGAAGATCTCAAAGCCAGCGATGTCCAACACCCCGATGAAGTACTGCCTGGGCTGCTTGGTGTCCAGCTGCTGGTTGATGCGGGTGACCATCCACAGGAACATCTTTTCGTAGATGGATTTGGCCAGAGCACCCACGGAGTTGGTCACCTTGAGGAAGGATGACCCACTCAACCCTCAAATTAGTGTGTTTATGGTTGTGTTAAGTTGACATCTTGACGATTAAAAACAGTTAGAAATGACAATTTTATATAGTTCAACCTAATACTAACTATTTCTTGAGGCTTTGCCCAGCTCATAATGTTTCTCCTTTCCTGAGAACTATCCCATTTCTACATTTCGTTTTCTAACCACTCTGGTGGTAACACTTGACTCTAGCCCTTGGCCATACTTAAATTGAACCAGACATGGATATTTGATCCAAGTTGGGTTAAAAAGAATGTCTTTCCTGAGAATTTGGAATTGGGATCAAATGACACTGGTCTCAGTCGCAGGGGGAGGCTAGAACCATGGAGATACCAATGTGGGAGCTGCAGGGTGGCTGTGAGCAGGAGAGGTCGAGAAAAAGTATCTGCCTAGTGAGGGCACAACAGAAAAGAAGAGCATTGGCAGCCCAGGGAGCCCCAGAGAAGGAGCTGGAGAGAGGGTGCCTGCCTCTGGAGGGCTCTTCGGTCCCTGGCTCCAGGCTCTCCGGAGACCCAATGGGCACGCCTTGATTTGCATCCCTTGATGAACCCCAATGTTGAAGCCAGTTTCATATGTATTTCTGATACCTGCAACCCAACCAACTTTAAGATGATGGTGAAAATAGCAAAATACCCGGGTCAACTAGATTCAGAGCATCTCCATTACCTGCTGGACGTTTTGCCCTTTAGTGACATACTCGTTCCCGACCTTCACCCTCGGACAGCACAGGCCTTTCAGCATTTCTGCAGAATTCAGACCCATCAGGTATCCAGCTTTGTCAGCCACTGAAGGAAGAGGAGAAATGGCATCACACAAAAACAGCAGATGCTACAGTATCCAATCGGGTCCTCCCAGAAATGTGTTCTATAATCCTTCTTGATGTTTTTATGTTCTATGTGCGTCAGGCCTGGCCTAGTCCAGTGAAGCTTAAATTCCATAGTCCAGGGCTCCGGGTTTAAAATTTTTTTTTCAATTTGCCTTCTAGACCCAATGTTTAATTATAGGTTGATCTTGCTCTACTGATATTTAAATTTTATTTAAAAATACAGTTACATATTGGAGTCTGCTAGTACAACAGAAGGTTAAGTACCTTTCTAATTTGTGCAAGACACTGTACTAAGAGCTGAGAGGGAAGTATGAAACCTGACCCAGTCTTTAAGTGTTGGGAGATGGTCAAAAGCAGTTGACTCTTGGTAACTTATAGTTCATTGGGAGTTCAGTTAGCTTTGGGATGAGGCTGGCTCCTGGCATTACCCTCATGGAGAAGGTGGAAAACTGCTGCTCCCCAGGGACAGCTCCTCCTTGGTGGAGACCGTCTCCTCATTGCTGGTTGGGGAGTTAATAAAAGTCAGCACAGTATTTGTTAAGTGTTTGATAAGAGGCCAAATGCATGCATTACTCCTTGCTCAAACTATCGTTTTTTCTGCTGTGTCCATTTTGGTGTTTGGTACCATTATCCTTCTAGTCACTTAATCTTGAAAGCTTGGGGTCCTCCCTTCTCAGTAATGGCATGCCTCTGTTCAAACAGGCACCAAATCCTGCCCATTTCACCTTCAAAAAAGCTGGCATCTCCGTTGTTTCCAAGAGTTGTGGTTGGGCACAGTACGATGACGGACAGCCTGAGCTCTAGCGTCAGTCTGCCTGGTTCAAACATTGTCTGTGCTGCCTTATGCCTCAGTTTTGTCATTGGCACAGTGGCTGAGCTGTTGTGATGCAGACCTGGTGCACAGCGACCACTCTGTGAATATTAACTGACATTGCTACCACCATGAGAGAAGCTCAGCCCCCCCCCCGACAGCCCCCCTTTCCCTGTTCCAGGCTCTTCCTGACCCTGAACACTGAGCACACAGATACCAGGGCTGGGAGAGGGCAGGGACCCTGCGGTCATATGTGGCAATATGGTCTGCTCTTGCTGAGGAGCCTGACACATTTTTTCCAGGCTCCCACACTCTTGGTGAGTCTGACTGCTTACAGATTAATTCCAGGTTGTCCCACATACGTCTGCGCTACCTGGGATATCCATGGCTTCTGGTGCCTACCGCATACATTCTCTAAACCATTTATCCTGGCACCCAAGGCCTTCCCAAACTGATGCCAAAATAATCACCTTTAACTTTCATCTCTTATAAATCCACTACACATATCCTCTTCTGTAGCCCAAGTGGACCACTCGCTGCTCCTCAGTCCCATCACATTCCTTCCTCTGCCCCTGGCTCATGATATTCCTTCCGACTAGACTGCCCTCTCACCCTCACCTTTCAGAATCCCGCCCATCCTTCAAAGTCAATGTTAGTGCTCCCCCCCCCTCCAGGAAGCCTTCCCTGATTACCCCAATCAGAAGTGCTTCCTGCTCTGACACACAGTTTCTCTCCTGTTACCACCCCATGTGCACCATTGTGATAGGCAGGATTCTAAGATGGTGCCCAAGATTTGCACCCCCTGCTGGACATTCTCTATATAATCCCTTCTATTTGCATGTGGGTGAAACCTGTGAATGTGATAGGATATTATTTCTGTGATGAGGTTACTAATCAGCTAACTTTGAGTTACTAAAAAGAGATTGTCTTGGGCAAATCTAATCAGGTGGACCTTTATGATCGGTGAATATATATATATATATATTTTCCTGGCCTTTAATTCAAGGCTATTGCTCCCTTCTATCATCTGGGGTTCAGTTTGCACCACTTGACATGGAATGCAGTGTGAAAGGCAGAGGCCATAAGAGCAGGGCGCCTGGGGGTGGCTTCTGCTGCTGTGAGCCCCTCCCACTGCCTCGGCTGCATTTCCAGGCCTCCGGGGGATGAGGCAGAGGGGAGCGGTGAGATCCTCCACAGGAGAGTCCTGGGCAGGAAGATTTGTACACCGGCCCTTGGTTCAGGCTCAAGTTCAATAGATGTCAGAGTGGAGGAGAAAGTGATGGGAGGGTGAAACCCAGCTGCCACCTTACTAACGGCTTCGTCTTCGGTCCGGTGATTAGGAAAGTGTTCTGGATATTAATAATGATAGGCACAGAGAGAAGGGGAAGTTTTCTTTACCATCTCCTCTCGCCAATGCCCACCTCAAGGTAACAGGGAAACTGCTGGTGAGAGAGAGCAGCGTGGATGGTGATTATCCACATGAGAATTAGGCTTTTTGTTTGTCCAGGATTCACCGCCTTCGGGTTCCTTGACCCGAGTGAATCAGCTCCCCCAGCATGTGCACAATGAGCTCTGGACTCCTCACATTCAGTTTGTACAGTTTGAGATGAACACAAAGTTTGTCTCACATGGGCGTGCAGGTCGAGAGTCCATTCCAGCCCCCGTCCCAGATGCGGTTACCTTCGGTGCCGTCGGGCTCCGCCTGCTCCTCCCGCTGCTTCTGCTTGAACTTCATGTTCCCGTAGTGCATCACGGCGCCCGTGAGCTTGTAGATCCCAACCTTCTCCTCGGAGCTGAAGCCCAGGATGTCAATGGCATTCTGGGAATTGAAGAAAGGACAGCGGTCGCAGTGGGACTCAGGGCTGCAAATGCAGCTTTTCTCTGGCAAAGACCTCACTCAGCCTTTCTGTACAGCACGTGAGGCAGCCCTTGCCCACATACGTGAATGACAAGTGGGGTATAGTAAGTTAGGGGTTAAAACTGTTTCTTTAACATGTTTGCGTGGGTGGGTGGAGATTATGGGAAGGAAATGTGAACAAGTTTTGTTTCATTCAACAGGAACTGACTTTAGTCCTTTCCCACTGTACATAGATTTGGGGAGGATATTTTCTGAGTAAGGCCATTGGGAGCCATTGTGTGAAACAGGGAGAAGGAAGTCTAATGGTTAGTGCCTGAGAAATAGTGTCCAACAGCTTGAGAGGTTGGCATTGCGGTCCAGGAATTCCAACACTATCCAGAAACAAGCATAGTTGAGAACTGGAAGGGAAGCTCATTAAAGAGAACACCCTCATTTTTCAAATGAGAAAGTACTAAAGTTTGCAGAGCCCTCTGTGTATTAGGCATGGAGTTAGGCACCATCCATGTTCTCTCCTTATGTCCCTGCGAGAATCTCACAGGTGTACAGATTCTTCCAAATGTCCAGGTGAAGAACAGAGGTTCTAAGCAGGGTGAGTTATGGGCAGGATGTGAGAAGACGGGGACTGGAGATAGCACTGGGTCACTTCAAAGCTTACAGGAATTGCTGACTCGGTTTTATAACCACTTGGCCCATCTTCTACTACAAAAATTTAAACTAGAAAAGCCTTCTCTGGGGGATACATATTGGTTACATATCCGGGTTTGCAGGCTGAGCCTAGTCAATGCCACTGGTGGAGTTGAAATGTCTCTGGACGTGCCCGGGGAGCTGGTGGGACAGACCAGGAGGTCAGTGTCAGCAGGACGGTATTGCAGAGCGAAGATCTCTTGCTGTGGCGCCTCCTTGGGTGGAGGGAGAGTTCCCACCAGGAGGTGACGAAGGAGGAGAGATTCTGATGCCCCCACCCTGTGATTCCACATCCCACCCCAGCAGATGCATGTGTGTCCTGGAGAGGGGCCTCTGAGGTCAAAGGAGAAAGAACTGTTGCTAAACTGAAGGGAGCCAGGTGAAGGCCTTGCTGCCGGGGAGCCTCTTGGAGAAAGCGGTCCCTCAGAGGGAGCGACCCCTCTCCTTGGCCGTAAACCATTGCTCAGGAGAAGCCTGGGCGGGGCCGGGGGGCGGCGTGCAACAGCAGCCCCTGACAGCAGGCGACTTCCGGGGAGAACCTAAGACCCTCAGAATCATGTGGGAGGCCTTTCTCAGGGGCTGCAGGCCTTGCATCGGTTACTAACCTGCCCTTTCTGTACCTTCGGTCGGTAAAGGCTGGCGAAACCTGGTTAAAATGGTGCAATGGCTTGACTGAGGTTAACTGAAGTGTATTTGATCAGGAGCATTATCTACCTGCTTTAGAACAATTAGATTCACCTGGGAACCTCACAAAATGAAGGCCAAGAAGCTGGGCCCTGGGCAGTGCTCCTAGGGTGCCGGACAAACCCCTTTCCACAGCTCTTGTAGCTTCTGTGCAGACACGGCCAGCAGGGTGGAGGTGGATTGCTCAGGGAAGGTGTATTTTTAGTTAAAAATGTAAATTTTGTAGTTGAGCAGACCTGGGTTCAGACACTTTCTCTGTCATTTATAAACTCCACGCCTTCAAGCAAATTTGTATTTTTCTAAGATTCTGTTTCCACCTTTGTGAGGTGGAGGCCATGGTGGTACCTATCCCAGAAGGGGTGTTGAGGCTAAACTGAGGCCATGCAGCCACAGGCTCTCATCTCAGGTCCTAGCTCACGCAAGTGCTCAATTGGTTGTCATTGTTATTGTAGTTATTAACCCTGTAGATACTCCCCCAAGCAGCAGGCAGAGACCTGAGGGGCCTGCTGGGACCTAGAGGCCTGACAGGAACTTGAGGTGGTGGCAGCAGGAGGGATGGAGCGGCTGCTACAGACTGGGGTTTTCTCTTCCTGCTTTATACTTTTCTGAATTTTCTAACTGTTCTTAAAGAACCACTAGGTGGATTTGTAACCTGAAAACATCCAACAAAACCTTTAAAAACCTGGACACGCAGAAATGTACTCTAAAATGCTAGCGAATGAACGAAGGCTGCTTTGGAGAACTCTCCGCACTCCCATTCTGAAGAGGAGCTCAGCGGGGAGGGTGCTAATTCCCTGAGCTCTTGGGTATAATCGCCCAGCAGCCCGGGATCTCAGTTTTCTCATTAGATCTCTAAGGTGCCTCTCAGTTCATAAACACAATAATCCAAGCTTAAAGCAATAAGTAGCACAATGCTTACATCAGTTGCCAACAGTTCTTCGCTATCATCGATGCTGGCCACGGTGACCTCTCCTTGGCTCACGAAGGGGAAGTCAAAGGGGTTGGTTGAGATCAGAAGCAGGTCTGCGAAAGACAAAGATCCATTTAGCCTCTCAGGCACAACTTATGACGGCATTTTTGTTTGTTTGTTTTTTCAATGTGACTGATTTGGAAGATGAGAACAGTAGTCTAAGAACTTACCAATTAGTTCTGGCTTTTTGTTTGACATGATTTGGTAAAAAATATGATAGCTCCTCTCACTGGATAACTGAAATGTCACTCTGGATTTCTCTAAGAGATCTAAGTAACAAAAATAATGTGATTTCAGGTTCCCCAGAGATGCCTTTGTGGCCAAATACCAAGGTACCAAAATAGAGTGTTTAGACTCACAGGTTTCAATGTCTGCCGATGCCAGCTTTCCTGTGGCTCCAAAATGAATCCGAATGAACTTCCCCTGTCCAATGGCAAGTGGACAAACACCACAGTAATTTTACTTCCTTGGTCAAATTTTCAAAGTCTTCATAAAACTTTTGACAGTCTGATTGGACCATCTGTCTGACTTAGTTTTTGCTTTGGGCTGTTAATTCTGAGATTTCTTGCCTCAGTTTTCCTTACTGCTTACTATAGGCAAACCTATCTCCCAGGCTCCAGCCAGGCTCTCTGGCTCCCAAAAAAACCTACTCAAAGTCTGAATTCTCCATTTTGCTCCATTTTGGGGGAAGGAAGAGGTAAAATTGTGTGTGTGTGTGTGTGTGTGTGTGTGTGTTCCCTTCTTACTTAATTTGCTAGAGTCCTCTCTACTACACTGTGAGCGTGAAAATGTTGCCTTCCCTGTTTACCCACAATCTGGCATGTAGTTGGTACTCAAAAATATTCAATATTCTCGATATTTTCTGAATAAAGCTTAAGAGGAGTCAGTGAAGGGTCAGTGGAGGTATGTTTGAATTTTAAGTGTTGGGTCTTCAGTATTGTTACCTGCTGAATGGAAGATGATGGAAAATTTGCCTGCATATGTTTGTTTGGAGGGTTAGAGGTGGACAGAATAACCGGAATGGTTGCGACTTCTGGGTCAGGGCCAAGAGAAGAGGCCTTGGACAACATAAATGGGAGAGAGGATGGGGAGTACCTGAAAGCATCGTCTTCCATTTGAAGCTGGTGCCGGGTTAGTGCAATGTCTAATGGGTCCAAGTATGTGTAACACATCTCTGCTGTGCAACACGTCCCTTACAAGGAAGAGTTTCGTTGTGCACTGGGAAGACAGATGTGCAAATGGGCAATGCACAGAGGACCAAGCGAAGGAAAAAGAGGCCAGGGCTTGGAGCCACAGTCTTTAATTCATGCACCTACCTTCTCATCAAATATGATTTTATCTTGGAGAGGTAGCAATAAAATGCAAGCTAGAGATCATTCTGCTATCGACGTGTGTGACGTTTTGATGCACTTTTGCAACTACAGGCATAAATGAAGGCTTTCCCTTAGGGTTCTTGCTCCACTAGCCAGTGAAATTAGTTAGAGGGCTGGATTTTGTTTGTGTTGTTTGTGATTTTGTTTATGTTTTTTGCCAATGTGGAAGTAAATGCATCCTTGGTTGAGCTAATCCTACGTGAAATGTTGATGGATGAACATATCCTTTAATATCTTCAATATAAATTTCTTCCCAAGTTTTGAGCTCTTTTGCCTTCAACAGGTTTCCCCTACTCCCAATACCTCCTGACTTGGAGGAGTTCTAATCTGCTAACTTCATTCACACTAAGGTTTCTGTGGCTAATAAGTCCATGGATATTGCTAAATGGACTTCCGTGCTTTAAAATGTTTCCACTGGGAGACACCAACTTGAGCATAAAGGAATTGCTCTCCTCTTGTGGAATTTGAATCATGTGGCTTCAGGATGCTCTGAGGTGATGCTGACTAGTTAGGAAAGAACCGTTAAATTGTCCCTCTGCCAGGAACAAGCCAACACTGTCTTCAAAATGTATGAGAATGCCGAAACCGGTTTGGCTCAGTGGATGGAGCGTCGGCCTGCGGACTGAAGGGTCCGGGGTTCAATTCCGGTCGGGGGCATGTGCCTGGGTTGCGGACACATCCCCAGTGGGAGATGTGCAGGAGGCAGCTGATCGATGTTTCTCTCTCATCGATGTTTCTGACTCTCTATCCCTCTCCCTTCCTCTCTGTGGGAAATCAATAAAATATATTTTTTAAAAAATGTATGAGAATATCCTGGTTGGGTAGATTGACCATAATCACATGGGGTAGAATAAGGCCAGCTACGTTCTGGTTTATGTGGCAATTTTCATAGCCGGCACTGGAAGAAGGGGCCTGGTTTGGGGGAGGGTTGAAAACTGGACTGAGTCTTACAAATCTCGAGGAGTTGTCATTCCTCACGGTCTTGGCATTTCCAAAGGCCTCCAGCAGGGGGTTGGCCTGGATGATCTGATCCTCCAGGGTCCCCTGGTAATAAACAGGAAGAAGAAAAGAGAGGACATTAACGTCTTCTGAAGTAGCCTCTTGGTAACTCAAACGTGTGGATGCTCTGGGCAGGGTCCAGGGAGAGATGTTGACCAGCTCACCTGGTGGCCAGTTCAAAGTGTACCCACAGCCCCACCCCACCCGAGGAGGCTTCCAGATCCCACCCTGGAGGGGGTCTTATTTGCACAGCAAGTGGCTTCTGCCACAGCAGAGCCCAAGTTCCATCCTGATTTCCCTGGCTGCCTCTCTTCTCTGATAACATCTCATTATAAATCATAGATTTTTTTAGAATATATGCCTCTGTTACTGCATGCGACATGACCCATCCAATATAAACATTTGGGTTCAGACGGATAAATAGAACCCATGAAATGACCTAAGAGATCACATAATAGAAACAGTACTTCTCAAAAAACTTAAAAATAATTTTTTAAAAGCTTCATTCAAGGACATTTTTTACATTGCTTTATAGAGAGGAGAAAGGGAGGAGAGGAGAGGAGAGGAGAGGAGAGGAGAGGAGAGGAGAGGAGAGGAGAGGAGAGGAGAGGAGAGGAGAGGAGAGGAGAGAGAGATTGGTTGTCGACCTCACCAGGGCAGGATGGAACCTGCAACCCAGGTACATGCCCCCGACTGGGACTCGAACCCGCAGCCCTTATGTACCAAAAAATATTTCATGAGACTGATTCCTCAGAAGTCCACTTATAAAAATAGAGTGTTTACCCTCACCCCCTCTATGATTACTTATCGTTCTGGCTCCAGAGAGGTTTGGAAACTACTGTCCAGCCCAGTGGTTCTCAAAGTGTGATGCCCAGACCAACAGCACGAACAGTGGGAATATGTTAGAAATGCAAAATATCAGGATTGTGAATGTGAGATAGAAATTTCTCTCGGGAATTCTGGGCCTGGGCTCAGCCTTGGTATTAACAAGCCCTCTTGGTGATTGACGTGTGCTCCAGTTTGCGAACCACTGGCCCACACCATTCCTTCTCCAGTGGAGGATGTGCAGCTGCTCGAGGTCACTGGGCTGTTACTGATGGAGCTGGTGCAAGAGCCTGAGTCCACTAGGGGGACCCCATAACCACCGCTGGGGCTAGACCTTGTGCTGTGCATCTCTGCTGAGCACAGAGCTCTGCATACACGTGGCGCCCACCCAGTGAGCCTGGGGTGGAGGAAGCTGCTCACCTGCATTTTGCCTGGCTGCTGTTCCTTCTTCTTGTCCCCAGTAACTGCAATTGTTGCAAAGTACTGGATGACACGCTTGGTGTTCACCGTCTTCCCCGCACCAGATTCTCCGCTGTTGATTTAAAAGTGAGTGACGTGAAGGAGTGGAGAGGGTGGTGCTGGCTCCCAGTCATCATGGTGCAAACACAGGTTACTCACGTGATGAGAATAGACTGGTTGTCTCGATCTAGAAAGACATAGGGAAGCAAAACAAAATGCATAAACAAAAAAAACAGAGAATATAAAAGTTGGGCAACATTGGGGGCGGTTAGAGTCTGGCTTTGCCACGAACTAGAAGTGTGATGATCTGGACACGTGTAAACTTCTTTGAGATAATTTGTGCAGATTTCCCAAACATGTCCTATGGGCAGCATGGGAAGTGAACGGTGAATCCCACAGTTCAATTAAGACCTGTGAGGCTTGTGTTCATAGATCTTAATTCTTCAGTGGCACTTCCTCATCTCCCTTTTTAACAAAGAAAGCCTCAGACTCAGAGCTGTGAGAAGCCACATGTTTGAATTAGAATGTGTGGACACTGATGGGTTGACATCGCATTTTTCTTTTACCTTTACCTTCTCCTTGTGGAAAGTGATGGTTTTCCATTTACAATAGTGTTATGGGTTGGAACTGTGTCTCTCCCTCCTCCCCAACTCCTACGGTGAAGTCCTAACCCCCAGTACCTCGGGACCTGAGCTTATTTGGAAATCGGGTCATTGTAGATGCAATTAGTTAAGGTGAGGTCATACTGAGAGTAGGTGGATACTTAATCCAATATGACAGGTGTCCTTACTATAAAAAGAGGAAATTTGGAGACAGATGCACACAGGGAGAACACCACATGAACAGGAAGACAGAGATCAGGGACGCACTTCTACAGGCCAACGAGTGCTGACTATTGCCAGCAAGCCACCCGAAGCTCCAGGAGAGTCAGAAGGAACCAGCTCTGCCCACCCCTTGATCTCAGGCTTCCAGCCCCCAGAGCAAGGTATTTCTGTTGTTAGTCCCCAGTCCGTGGTACTTTATTACAGCAACCCCTAGGAAGCTATTGCAAGTAGTGATACTAATCCTCCCTAGCTTTAGACAATTTGAAGAATATTAAGCATGCAGAAATGACTAGGATTGAGAATGTGACATGGGAATGACTGGCGTTTGGACAGCATTGTAGTAGATGACTCTTAAGTGTCATCAGACCCCAGATGCTTGCTTCTACTTGTATCTGCTCCACGGCAAGGCAGGTAAATGTTGGACAGACAGAAGTGATATTAGGCATGATGGTGTGATGGTATTATCACGTCTCTATTTCTTGTGCCATTCTGGAAGTTTAGTGAACCGAAAGAGGAGCCTGGAATTGGGAGGAAGACAGGTGAAGGGACATTGCTGTGCCCTTTGCATTCCTAAGTGGCTACCAACATAGTCTCTCTTTCATGTGTGCCCATGTTGGGGGTTCTTTGGAGGTGGGAGCAGGGCTCCTCCTGTGTTCCACATTCCCCCAGATAAGCCTGTGTTTGTGGAAGACACTGCATCCTGGTTTTCCATCATGAAATCATCTGTCTCCTAAGGTCACTTTGATCATTGAACCATTCAGATAACAGAGGCCTGTGAAGGGCTCAAATAATTAACTATAAACTAGTTTTTAGAATATGGATTGAAGAAAGTACTCACCAGTCAGCATGAACTGATAGGCATTGTCAGAAATGGAGAAGATGTGGGGCGGGGCCTCCTGGCGCTTTTTGCCTCGGTAGGCAGCCACCACCTCGGGGTTATACACCGGCAGCCACTTGTAAGGGTTGACAGTGACACAGAAGAGGCCCGAGTAGGTCTGAGAAAAGCAGAAAATGCAGCATGTGGGTCATGTTTTTACTCAAAGAGATAAACAATAAACAGATTGGAAGGGCGCTCACGTAGATCATCCAGGCTGCATAGCGCTCTTTGAGGTTGTACAGGACAGCGGGCTCATGCAGATGGGTCATCATGGCCATGTCCTCGATCTTGTCAAATTTGGGAGGGTTCATGGGGAAGACCTGGTCACTGTTCAGAGTGAGAGTCTGATATTGAGAGGAAGAACAATGATGAGAGTGGAGTGGATGACTCGTACCCCAATCTGCTGGTATAGAGGAAGCAGTGAGAGACTGCAGTGCATTTCCAGGCCCAGGGATGATCCACAAATAACTGTCCTTGATTAACCTAATTCTGGTCAAAATGCATAATCAGTTCAGGTCTGCTGCCCCCAGTCAGCATGCCATTCCATGTGTCAGGAGCAGGTGACAGGTGTGCAGAGCGGTAGAGTCCTTCGGCCCTCGGGGCCCAGGTAGGACTTAGGACAGCCAGGGCCAGGGCAGTGGCCTCTGTTTACCCCATTTGCTGTGAGCACTGGGGTGAGACAAAGGTCGGAAGGCTGGAAAGAACGACTCCAATGTATTCTGTGCATCTCCACCTCAGTGCCTCCACTCACGTGGGCTCTTTGTCTGGAATGTCTATTGAAATGGTGTCTAGAAAATCTCAGAGTTCAGCTCAAGTACCATCTCTCCATAACGTGTTTCCTCTCTCCCCTGCCTTTCCAAGGTTTTCGTAATTTTTTAAAATCCTCACCCAAAGATATGCTTATTGATTTTTAGAGAGAGAGGAAGGGAGAGAGATACACTGATGTGAGAAACATCGATCAGTTGTCTGCCGTACACACCCTGACAAGGGATTGAACCCACAATCATTTCGGTGCCTGAGATGATGCTCCAACCAACAGAGTCACCAGGGCTAGGCTCTCACAAATCTAACTATCGAGCCCTCGCCCTTCCTCTCTGTAAAAAATCAATAAAATATATTTAAAAAAAATAGTCCAGCCCTAACCGGTTTGGCTCAGTGGATAGATCATCGGTCTGTGGACTGAAGGGTCCCAGGTTCGATTCTGGTCAAGGGCATGTACCTTGGTTGCAGGCACATCCCCAATAGGGGGTGTGCAATAGGCAGCTGATTGATATTTCTCTCTCATCAATGTTTCTAACTCTCTATCCCTCTCCCTTCCTCTCTGTAAAAAAATCAATAAAATATATTTTTTAAAAAAGAAAAAAAATAGTCCAAGCTCTTCCACCCTCACCTTCCCCTTTCTCCAAAGCAAACATCACAAAAGCTCTCAAAGCCCAAGACCTCAGAGAAGGAAAGAAGCAGGAGCAAAGGTGTGTGCAGCGGCAATTCCCCCTGCTGCCTCCCTGCAGGACAGATAAATGCCAGATTCCTACGGACCCGCATGCAATTTCCAGTATTCCTCCCCAAGGAAAATGAGAATGCCCTGATTATCAAGGACATCTGACACCAGCACTCACCCGGTCATCGAGGGTCTTGACCGTGACTTTGTCATCTTCTCTGCTCTGAATCATACCTTTCACGTATAATTCCTTATCATCCACTGCAAAGCAGGATTTCTTAGAATCAAATGGGCGGTTCTGCGCTTCAATTCTCTCCTTCTCTGGTTTCCGCAGATAGGGAGCTGCTTCTCCAAAAACGGCCATTTCCGCATCAGAGCTCATGACTGCAGGGGGCTGGGAAGGCCAGAGGTGGACTCTGAGTCTGGAGTCTGGGGGGCAGCTGAACCTGAAGGGCCCCCGGCTGTTATCTCCATTCAGACAGACAGCCAGATTCACAAGGTCCCGGGATTAACCGAGGTCCTGGGGAATCCGGGACCAGATCTAGGGGTGTAGAGCGGGTAAGCAGGGTGAATGAGCCCAGGGGATATTTTACTCCAAAAGAAAAGTTTGAGGAGCTGTTTCTGTTTCTGAGTGCTGATGTTGGGAATCTCTTAGTTCAGTCCCGTGCCTGGAATTGTGACCCAATTAGAGGATGTCAGGGAGAGCCCAATAAAGGTGGCCTTTCTTAATTATGCATCACACTTAAGCCCCGGCAACTTGGTGTCATCACCAAACCTGAAGGGTGTCTGGAAAGAATTAGAGGAATGTTGAAATTCCTAGTAGAAACTTCAGACAACCCAGTGGAAAGAATGAGTTGCACATCCAGTATTGCTACACGTAGGTAGCTAATTACAGGCAACCAGGTGAGGGCAGGCACTGTGACCTAGGGCAATGGCTCCACATTTTCACATGCACCAAATTACCTGGAGGGCTTGTTAAGACAGGTTATAGGCCTCGACCCCAGAGTTTTTTATTCATCAGGTCCCGCGGGGCCTGAGAACCTGCACTTCCAGAGTGTTCCTAGGCAGTGCTGCTGCTGCCTGGCCAGGGGCCACATGCTGAGAACTGGCGGCAGGGAGCCTCCTACTGAAAGTGTGGTCCTCAAACCTGTTGACTCAGCATCACCGGGAAGCTGGTTAGAAATTCAGAATCCCAGACTCACCCCAGGTTACGGAATCAGAATCTGCCTTTTAACAAGATCTCCAGGTATGTTCATGCCTTGCAGAGTTCAAAGCACTGGGCCTAGTGCGGTGGTCTCCAAACTTTAGGTGTGTGTAGCCGTGCCCGAGTGTGACAACCAGTGTTTAATTAGATTAATAGCTGCCTTGCAACTCACTGCCCAGTGTGTGTGTGTGTGTGTGTGTGTGTGTGTGTGGTATTAAGTGTCTCTCTCCCCCAACCTCCCACGCATTCTTCCTATCACTCTCTCTCTCTCCAAATCATCCCCATTCATCGCCCTTCTCTAAAATGTGGCTTAACATCAGAGCACTGAATTCCGTCAAACCACTTAACTTCTCCAGCCCCCTGTCTATTTCCACTTAAAAGGAAGAAGAAAGCCTAGGCCCTAGGGCAGCGGTCGGCAAACTCATTAGTCAACAGAACCAAATATCAACAGTACAACGATTGAAATTTCTTTTGAGAGCCAAATTTTTTAAACTTAAACTATATAGGTAGGTACATTGTTATTAACTTAATTAGGGTACTCCTAAGGCTTAGGAAGAGCCACACTCAAGGGGCCAAAGAGCCACATGTGACTCGCGAGCCGAAGTTTGCCGACCACGGCCCTAGGGCATCTCCAAGGTCCCTCGGGTTGTGTGGCCTTATGATTCCTTGTCCTCATCTGCATACTGACCATAAAATGAGTGGCATTTTACACCCACCCGCCCACCCACACGTCTCTTAAGAGAAGTTTATATTTTTTGAACAAGGCCTTTCATGTTCCCTATTAAAAGTGGGAAGTTGAACATCTTACAGTTCCTCCTTGGCAGCCACCCTCCCGTTGTATGAAATGGCTCATCATGGTAACTGCTGCTTCAGTACCCCTTCCTGCAGTCCTGCCGGCCCCTTCCCACAGAAAGGGACGCACTGCTTATCTTCAGCTTTATTCGGATGCATTGTGTTTTAGTTTGACTTCGCCAGTGGCTCGGCGGGACCGTGTGTGACTTGTGGCTTTCATAGTAAGAGACTAGACTTCAGGGCAGCACCGAAATGAGGTCCCTGCCTACAGCCCTAATGCTGGTTGGCATTTTCTGTTACCACCTGGGGGAAGAGGGAGGATTCACCCATCCCACTTTCCCCTCTCTGAAGGGGTCGCTAGCATTGTTTTTTAAGTGCGGTTCTCAAACTTTGTGTTCTCGGAACCCCTCACACTCTTAAAAATGAGAACACAACCAGCTTTGCTTTGTGTAGGTCATAGCTACTGATCTTGACTATATTAGAAATTAAAAGGGAGAAAATTTAAAAATATTAATTCATTTAAAATTACTACATCATCTATTACGTTAACACAAATAACATGTTTTTATGAACATGACTATTTTCCCAAACTGAAAAAAATTAATGAGAAGCATTATTTTTCATTTTTGCAACTTTGTAAACGTCTGTTATAGAAAAGACAGCTGGGTTTTCATGTCTTGCTTCTGTATTCAGTCTTGTTATTTTTTATTGTTGTTGTTGAAGTAATTATAAAAAAAATCAGCCTTGGCCAGGCCAGAGTGGCTCAGTTAGTTTAAGCCTAGTCCACTACACCCAAAAAGGTTGTGGGTTCAATCCCTGGTTGGGGTGTGTACAGGAGGCAACTGATCAATGTTAACCTCTCACATCAATTTTTTTTTCTGTTAATGTCCTCTCTCTCTCTAAAACAAGAAAGAAAAATCCTTACACAGTTATGTAATTTGAAAAAAGAAAGAGTATTTCCAGTAATTGTGGATATTTTTCTTAGATATTATGCCAAAACTTGACAAGTGGTAGATTCTGAAGACTAGTTGAATCTCAGGTATGATTCGTTTTTTTTTTTTTTTC